TCAGGACTTAGAGGAAGGCTGATTCTCAGCAGCAGAGTGAATTGGGGCAAACCTGTGTGTCTGTCTGCTTCTTGTTGACTTGGTTTGTGTTTGTGACTTTGGGTACCTTTTGTAGGAGAGCAAGGTTCTTCCGGTCAGAATCTTGTTATTTGTTGGTGACTGCTTAGACGAGCGTGAACGTCTTGGGAAGGATCAGTAAGCGTGTTGTGATTTGGTTGTACATCAGACCTTAACCATTTTGTTTAAATCCTCGTGTTGGGTATATGAAGCATCCATCAGTATTTATGGAACTTCTCCTCTGTACCTCGTAATATTGTGCTTTGGGGGAGATAGAGGAGACTGCCTCTAAATAGAATCTCCATCTTGGAGTTTATGTTTATAGCCTAGTCAATCAGATAAGAAGAATGCCCATGTAATAATGAAGAGAGCAGTAAATGACAAGACATAACCAAGTACTCAATAGTATAAAACAAACTAGAGAAAGGAGAAATGATGTGAACCAGAGTGGAGGGGAAGGCTGCCATGAAGAAGGATTGATTTGAGTGGGGCCTGGAAAGGTGAAGAGACTGTGAATGTGTGGAAAGAAGTGGGGAGGACATTCAGGCAGTGGCCACAACAGGTGGCCGATGAGGATGAGTTGGAAAATAAAGCTGGCCTAGGAGAGGGTCCAAGTCTGCTCCCCCTCAGGTGGGGCAGAGCCTGCCCCAGCAAGGACCTTGACAGCCCAGGCAGAGAACGTGACATTTGGGCAACAGGCTGTGGAGGTGGAGGTCCTTGAGCAAGGACGCCGTATAATGGTAGTGAGGGCTGTGTAGGAAGAGTTGGTGCTGGAAGCGGCAGACCAGCTATAGGGGGAGGTGGTTGAGTGAGCAGCCTGAAGGTCTGCTCTAGGCAGAAGACTTATGAGAGCCCACCTACCAAGTAGGCAGAAGAGGAGAATGTTTTTAAGGTTCTGCTTAACTTTTCTCTCTTGTGTGCCTGAAAGTACTTGGGTTGGTTTGTTTGCCTTTAGTGTTATTCACAAAATGAAAATTTTCCTAAGTTGTACCCAGGTGGAGACCATTAACATTAGACTGTCACATTCTTGTTTTTAAAAGAACAATGATAGCTCACTTGAATACTCTGCTTGACATTTGTAAAGTTGTTTCCTCTCTACAACCCTGTTAATGAGACCAAAGAACCTGCTTTATGAAGAAACCCATTGAAGACTTTGCGGATGTTTAGCTTTGAGAAAACAGTCCTTTGGGGAGGGAGACATAATAGCTGTCTTTCAAGTGACTGTATATTTGTCTTGTGTAAGAGGGATCTGAGTTCTCTACGGGGGGGGGGGGGGGATGAGCAGAGCGAGGAAGTTGGTGAAAAGTTGGTTTTGGCTTCATCTGAAGGAACATCTCCCACCAGTCAAAGCTGGCCCAAAACACAACAGGCTGCCTGTGGAAGGCCTGAACTGAGCCCGGCGGCCCTTGTGGTTACCAGCATTTGGTGAGGCCAGCACTGTCCCTACTCTTTCAGTGAGAGGCTGTGACTTGCTTACAGTCCAGGATTAGAACCTGCAGCTTCTGAATTCATCTGCTGCTTTTCTTCACAATACTGTGCTACCTCTAGAATCAATTGCTTTTCAGACCCACTGTAGTGTGGTCTGAATGGTGCTGTTAGAGGTTACCTCCTAGTAGCTGTGGGGTGGGTAGTGGGATGTTAACGTGCCAAGTTAAATAGGTTTAATTTTTGTGTATTTCAGACTTGTGTCGTGTCCCAAAGGTGGTAGGTAGGTGCCGAGCCTCTATACTGAGGTGGCGGTATAATATTACAGCTCAGGCTTGCCATTCATTTATCTATGGAGGTTGTGGTGGAAATCACAATAACTTCCTGACACGAAAAGACTGTCTCAGAGCGTGTGATGGAGTCACAGGTAAGAAAGTAGTAGTAGGACGTAGGACCTAAACTCTCCATTTCCCTAGTATATTTACTGGTCCCTCACCGTGACCTGGAAGAAGTGGTTTAAAGCTGAGGAATCTGTAGCACCCTCGTCCAGCAACCACTTAAGCAGTTTGTGTTGTGTGCGGAATATCGGTACATAGCTCTCCTTCCTGGTTGGCCTTGGGAAAGCCACTTCTCTGGGTATTGGTTTCCTCCTCTGGATGATGGGGTTGGACTCCATGGCCTCTGGAGTCCCTGCCAGCCCTGGCTCTATGCCCCATCCAAGTACTAAGCACTGTGAAGAAAATAACCAACACTTGGGGGGTGAGGGTAAAGCTGGGCCTTGGGGTGGTGTGGCCCCAAGGGCAGGCTCCTGTGCACCCTGGCAGTCTAGGGTACGGGATGAAAAAGCACAAAGGTGCAGGTTGATTTTTCTCAATATGGACCACAGCTCTCCACAGCATACTCTAGATCAGGGTTGGGGAACCTGTGGCCCTCTAGGTCCTTGAGTTTGGCCTTTTGACCGAGTCCAAGTTTTACAGAACAAATCTCTTTATTAAGGGGATTTGTTCTGTGAAGTTTGGATTCAGTCAAATGGCCGAATGTAAGGACCTAGAGGGCCACATGTGGCCCTGAGGCTAGAAGGTTCTCCACCCCTGCTCTAGAGGGAAGGAGGAAGAGAGGAAGCATTTATTAAGTGCCTAGTGTGTGCTGCGCACTAGGGGAGGTGCTTTACAACTGTCATCTTATTGGATAATATTAGTCTATACACAGTAACACCCACACAGAGTAGTCACATACTTGCTGCCAGGCATTGTGCTAATAAGCACTGAGTATCATTCAGATAGGGGAGAAAACATGTACATGACAAGGTCTATCCTGAGAAGATGGAAGGAGAGCCAAACAGGAAAGGCATTGATGCTTGGGGGTCCTGGAAAGGGAGCCTGGAGCAGGTGGGGTTGGAGCTGAGCTTTCTGTGAAACTAAGAGGTAGAGGTGAGGAGACAACCTGGGCAAAGTCTGAGCATGGAGGGCTACCTTCAGGAAACTGCCAGAAGGTTCATGCTGCTGGGTCTTAGAATGTGGAGCAGAGAAAGGGTGACGTTAGGAAGGAGCTGGCTTGTGAAAAGGGATTTAGATCCTAAGCTGAGGAGTTTGTATTTGGTCCTGCAGAGAATGTGGGGGCTGGGAGGGTGACGTAGTCAGCTCTTTGGCAGCTAAGGGGAGGATGGATTGGCAGAAGAAACAGGGCAGGAAGAGCAGATTAGAAAGTTGTTCAGATAATCTAGGCAAAAGTGACAAGATCCTAGAGCAGGATTTGTGCTTGTATGATTGGAGAAAAGGGGGCCATGCAAGGTGTGAGTGAGAGTGAGGCATTGAGGATGAACCTGGGAGGCTCTGTTATGCACTGGACACACTGGGTCCTGAGTCTGGAATCAGGAAGATCTGGGTTCAAATCTGGCCTTAGACACAGAGTAGCTAGCTGTATGACCTTGAGCAAGTCACTTAACCTCTTTTTGCCTCAGTTTCCTCAACTGTAAAATGGGGTTAATAACAGCACCTACTTCCCAGCGTCGTCGTGAGAATTGAATGAGATCATATTGGTAAAAGCACTTAGAGTGCCTGGCACTTAACCCTAATAAATGCTTATTCTGTTCCATGGACAGGCGATGGGAAGTTCAGAAGAGGAGAGGGTTTGGGGCGGGGGAATAGTTCTGTTTTGGACAGATCAGGTTTGAGAGTCCTGTGGGACAGATCTGTAGGTCAGGGTACCCAGAAGGCAGTTGGTAATGCATTAGTGTGACGCTCAGAAGAGGCTGGGGCTGGTAAGTGGATTTGGCAGTCAACAGCGTAAAGATGATCGTTGAACGCCTCGGAAGCTGATGAGGGTACCAGGTGATAAGGTGTTGGGAAGAAGCAGTAAATAATAGAGTGGCTGTAATCCCTGAGTATTGTTGTGATGAGTCTCTAAGGCAGGTGAAAAGAGAAGGGCCTTGCCCCCCAAATATGGGGTGTGGCATTCCAGGCATTTGGGCTCTTGTGGTCTCAGGGCAGGTTTGCATTCTGCCAGTGACCACCTGTGAGCCCGAGAGGCCCATGAGAAGACCCTGCCCAGAACTGAGCCTTTGGTGCACATTGTGACCATCCTGTGCAGGGCCTGCAGTCTGGTTTTGGTCCTCCCAGCCTGCTCTGCTTTGTGAGTCCTTTAGGCCATTTTAAACATAGTTGTCTGTCCCCTGCCTATCTGCCACTGGCTGCTATAAGAGGTCTTGCCTGCAGTAACCTTGGTCTCCCTCTTTGAAGCTGAGGGTTCTAGTCTGCTGTGTGTTGAGGTTTAGAAACTACAGTTGGGACTGGTTTTCAGCCAAGGGGGATTGGCCAGGTTGGGCACAAGACAGGCAGATAAGTTCATTTAGAGGCAGAGTAGATGGGATAGGCTTGCAGCTAAGAAGACTTTGATTCACATTCTGTTTGTGACACTAGCTGTGTGACCATGATCAAGTCACCAATCCTCTCTGTGCCTTAGTCTCCTCATCTATAAATTGAGAATAGTTGTAACACCTCTGGTGTCTGCCTCACAGGATGATTGTAAGACTTCAAACTTTAAAGCCCTCTGTAAATACCAGTTATTTCTGGTCATCCAGGATCTTTGCCCTTCCTTTTTTTTACCTGCCTAATGTTCTACCCATTTAGTGTGAATTGTCCCTACTCACACCTACCTGGTGCTGAGCAGGGACCAGACAGTAAGTTCAGAGCAGCACACTTTTCCTGTTTGTCAGCTCTGGGTTTTCTGTGGGCCCGCAGCTACCCAGCAGCTAGTTATTGTGTGTGCTCACCAGAGCTGGGTCCTTTCTCCATTCCCTACGCCTTCTTCGTGCTTTACTCCTGTCTGTGCTGGAGTCTAGGCCACTCATAGGGATCTAAGGCGCTCTGTTTCCCTACACAGAATGGGATTTCCCCGGGGTGGGGGGCTGGTGAGGGTTGAGGGGAGAAGACAGAGTCAGAGTTATGACAGATTACCTTTATTTTGCCTAGATTGCTCTGACTCAGTTTCTAATGGCAGCAAGTTTTTGTTCCCTGTAGAGAACTCTGCTAAGGAAGCCCCAGCCAAGAGAAGTGGAACACGTGAACGTAGCCCAAGTGGTAGGTTTAGGGAGAAGCGGGCCGACCATCCGTCCAGACAGAGTATTGTCAAAGACCATTTCAAGTCTGGGGTTTGTGAGAGACCTCCTGAGCCTATTCAGAAAGGACAGAGGGGGAGATAGGGTTTACCTTCCTAGGGGACAAATCAACTTCCAGCTCAGATGTTTTCTGTGGAAAGTAATATCCTGGCTGTGACAAGGTCCTTGCCTTCTCCCTTGTGGCCTTGCCAGTCTTAATGTAAACTTAATACAAAATGGCATTTAAGTCCAAGAGAGACAGGAGCCAGGGAAGGGACAGGGATGGATCAGGGAAAGCTTCCTGGAGGAGGCAGCCATGAAAGGTGGGTAGGATTTCAGTGCTCACTCCTAGAAAACATGGCTTTTGTGGTGGTTGCTGCCCTAGGATGTGAATGGTTCCCTCAGCTGTGCTGTTCGCGCCCCCCCCCCCACCTCCCCTCCTCTGCCCCCGATCCTCAGTCCCAAGGCAGTCCTTGATCTCAAGCTTTGTGCTAGGTTGCTTTGTAGCCCTGACAGCAGCTGTCCCATACCTCTTGTATGCTTAAGGATACAGCAGCGGGAGCCTGGGGTGAGTGGTGCCGATCTGTAGCCTGGGTGCCATGGCTGGGTTCCGGGGTTGTTATATGATGGGGTGGGTTCCATTAGCCTGAAGTCCTATACCACAGAGCTCTCTTCAGGACAGATCTCCCCTGATCTAGCGTTAGGCCTAGACCTGGGGGCATTTGATGAAGCTGTATCCAGTGGCCCCCTGGTCCTCTCATTCTGTACTTGAGACTTCATGTGAGGCAAAGTACAGACCTAATACCCCTCTTCATGTTGCCCTGACCCAACAGCAATGCAATCACGTCATTAAATCGATTTTAACCAAACCCCCCAAAATCCTGCTGGGACGTTGTTTGGGTTATCTCCTGAGGTGGAACAGATCACATGATTCATGATAACCCAGTCTAGCAGCCTTGCTGAGGGCTGAGCTTTTCCTACCACAGATCAGTGGTGTCAAACTCAAATAGAAATGGGGTGCCCGCAAAGCCATAATAAGGATCCCTACAGCCCTCATGTTGACTTAGTTTTAAAGTGAAATGTTATCTGTTTTATTTATTTATTTTGTTGAATATTTCCCAGTTACATTTTAATCTGGTTCAGGAGACACTCAGGAATTTTGTGGGCTATGTGTTTGACACCTCTGCCATAGATAAACTTGTTCCTATGGTACTGTCCCCTGTAATGTTGTTTTACCTAATAGCATGGATTTCTGGAACTAATAAATAATAACAAAAACTCACATTTACAGTGCTCTAAGTTTACAAAATGCTTTCCTGCACTACCTTTGGGGTCATAGTGCAAATATTATTAGCTCTGTTTTACAGGTGAAGAAATTAAGCCTGAGAGATTAAGTACTTTGCCCAAGCTAGTAAGTGCCAAGCACCAGGTTTTGAACCCTGGCGTTTCCTGATTTCCAAGGATGGTGCTCTTTCTACTGTGCAGAATTACCTTTCAGTGTTAGGTGGGATATGCTTGTGTAGTTTTCAGTTAATTTTCATTACCAGTTGATGAGAAATCTTCTGCAGTGACAGTTTTCTTTTTGTATCTGTTTTTTTTGTTTGTTTGTTTTTAGCTAGGCAGTGGGGTTAAGTGACTTGCCCAGGGTCACACAGCTAGTGTTATGTGTCTGAGGCTGGATTTGAACTCGGGTCCTCCTGAATCCAGGGCCAGTGCTCTATGCACTGTGCCACTTAGCTGCCCCCTTTTTGTATCTGTTCCCACAGAGTTAATATTGTATAACCAAGGCTTTCTGTGTGTCAGGATTTTTTTTTTAATTTTAATTTTCTTTTTTATTTATCTTGTGTGTGAGGATTTTGCAAGGATGGGCTCTATTACTAATTCTTAAATTGGGGTCTCCAGTATAATGTCAAGTTACTGAATTTTTCTTGCTGTTTACCTACATATGAAGTTAAGCTAATCATTGTTCCGAGTATTTTGCATGTGTTTGGAGGTGTTAAACCTGGAATGAATTTCTGGAGGAGAGCAGAGGTTTAGATGGGAGGGCTCCCTGCCATGCTGAACACATCCTTCCCTGTGATGCCTGGTCGGCACTGGCGATTGGTCAGCTCGCAGAGTTTGAATCATTCTTGGTTCTTTTGATGAAGCATCCTACCAGGTTGTATTCTGGGGAGTAGATTTGCAAGTTGTGACAATATGCTTCTGTCTAGAGGAGAGGGGGGGCTTCCCAGTAGTGGCTTCAGAGAAGACCGTGGGGTCATCCTAGACAGGTGTGGAAGTCCTTCTGGAAAGGCCTTATCAGCCTCAGCTTGGCTAGGAGTTACTATTGGCAACCTGCTTAACTTCGGAAGCATGTTTTTATGGTCCCAGCTTACTTAAACATAAATTTTTTTTGTTGCAGCTCCCCCAAAACAAGATTCTGAAGTATTTCCTAGTAACGATTTCAACTATGAAGGTAACTTTTAAGGTTAAACATATAGCTATTTTTTGTGCAGACAGTTCTCACTTGACATAAATTTGACGTGAATTCAGTGGGGGCTGTACCTGCATTGAGAGCTTTGGAGGAGGGGGTAAGCCCACATGGGAGGTTGGTCAGTGGTCTGCTCACCTTCAGCGAGAACTGGCTGTGTTTGAATGGGGAATTGAGACATAACAGGATTTCCACTGATTTAATGTGCACGGAATGCCTTCATTGTCGTTCACTGTGAGGCCCTTTTATCAGGGAACGTAGCCATCTGATGAAGATCTCTGTGGGTGGGTAAAGAAGGGAGTGGGGTCAGAGATAGCAGTACTGACCACACACCATTTGTGGTGGTTTTTCTTCATATCTTGGGGTTATAAAAATGGGATTTGAGAGGCAGCCTAGACTGAGAGATGACTGGTGGTATCTGTTCCCAGAATACTGCGCAGCCAAAGCGGTCACTGGCCCTTGCCGTGCAGCCTTTCCACGCTGGTACTTTGACATTGAGAACACCACCTGTGCTCATTTCATCTATGGAGGCTGTCGAGGCAATAAGAACAGCTACCTGACCCAAGAAGACTGCATGACGAAATGTTTTGGTGAGTCTGGAAAACTGGTGTGTGTACGTGGGCCAAGCTGCCCCCTCCTTTCTGTTGGATCCATTCTGCTGGGTGCTGGGGACAAGAGGGGGTGGGCACAGGTCAGGTCCCTGAAGGCTTCAGGAGATTCTAGGGAAAGTCAGTGGGGAGTCCCCTCCCTTTGCTATTCCAGACTAATGCGTCCTTGAGAAGTGGTAGATAAACTGGAGAGTGCCTAGCTCTTTCTTGGTGTGTCTTTGTTCTTCTTCCAGGCAAGCATAACCATAAGTCATCTCATCCTGTCATGCCACATTCCACCAAAGGTAAAACGTTCTTCTGATTGTATGTGATAAAGCTGGCTCCCTCCTCACTGGAGACCTGCTTCTGCACTCATGGTCATTCCTGGGTCAGTCTCACTGGTGTAAATATGGAGTACTTGGGGTCACGTTGCCACAGTCTCCTTCTTTGCTAACAGAATAGACCCAGAGGGGGCTCATTTTCACTCTTGTTCCTGCATGAAAGGGGCAGGTCAGCCTGGTGCCCGGATGAGTCATGTTAGATACCAGCCCCAAGGCAGCAGGTCTGACATTGAATGAATCTACTAAAAAGCTGTTGGGGCGGGCTGGGGGTGTTATGAGGGGTGGTAAGGTGCCGAGGCCAGCTAGGAAGAGGAGACTCATTACCACTAACTGGAAGGAGCTACTTGGTGACTGTGCTAAGTGGGAAAACTTCTTGGCCCATCCCCAGAGTTTGGGGGTAGGATTGCTTCCTTTGGGCTCTACATATCTGTGGGGAAAGCAGAAGGCTGTCTATGTCTGTGGTCAGGGATTGGTGACAGGCCTTGTTTTTCCCTTGGAAGCTCTTTGACAAGTCAGTGAGTATCTGGTCTCTTGGGCCTGGCTTCTTCTCAACATGAGATGTTTGCACAGGCTTGCCGGCAGACACAGGCAGTTCCTGATCTGTTTTGAAGGGGCAGAGTTAGAGCCTGGTTGTTCAGTTGGAGGGGTCTCAGGTGAGCCTGTGCTGGGAGGCGGTATTGCTCTAAACGTCCCCAAGGGGAAGGCTCAGGCACCCCAAGGGCTGACGAGCTGGTACAGGTGGGCAGGTTGCCCTGGCCAGGCCACATTCTACAGGAGCAATGCCACCTAGAAATCATCATTCTCTCCCTGGCCAGTGTGCCAGCAGCTGAGCACCCACAGCCTCCCTCCCAGCAACACTCTAGGTCTCTCTGCCAGCCTGGGAGTTACCAAGGCCCCGTAAGCTGTGTGTGCCCCTGAAAGCCTGCACTGCAGACTTGGGGCTTCCTTTGGGGAGGCATCCCAGATCGTTTCTGGGGAGAACACTGAGCATGGGCTTCCTGCTTCTTTCAGTTGGAAGGCACTCCTCTTTCCCAGGATCCTTCTGGGAAATTGAAAACCCTAGAAAAGGGTGTTTCCCCCAGTGTCAGGGTAACAGGAGAATAAAGACTGGGGGGGTAGTAGTGGGGGTCTCTCATGCCTGCTGGGCTCCGTGAGCAGCTTCGTTCTTTGGGGCTGCAAACACTGCACCTGCCTGGCTTCTATGGCAGGAAGCTTTGTGTTTAGGGGAGCAACAGCCCAAGTGGCTTTGTGCCTGGGCAGCTGCCTTCCCTCTGGATCCTTGTGCCTCAAGCCTTTGTTGTCTCCAGCTGTGGCCTTGGCGGTGCTGCTGGCAGTGATGGCAGCCATCCTTTTGGGAGCAATGGTGGTCATCTTTATCAAGATAGCCCGGAAGCACCAGATGAATGCCTTCAACACGGTGTGGAGCCCCATAGATGACAAGGAGTACTTGGTGAAGAGCGCTTACGCCCTCTGAGGAAGCTGAGGGTCCCCCACCCTGCAGGCAGCAGTATCCCTCTCCTGCTTGGCCACGTGGTCCTTTCCATGCAAGCTGCCACAAGGGCACAAAAAGCCCTCAATGAAGTGTAAATGTGAGAAATTGTTGGGTGAGGGGAAGAAGGGAAAGCGAATTGTAGAAAGGCCATGTTTTTGGTGTTTTTATTTTCTCTTTAGTTTTTTAAGTGTGATTAATTTGTGTATGACTTTTGTAATTCCAAGAGGCAAGTGAGCACACTTCCTAGTTCGGTTGGGCGGATGGGGGGAGTGGGGTTAGGGGGCAAAGGGCATTTTGGCTTAGAAATATTTTTAAAGAAACCAAAACAGATTTTTATTTTAGGATTCTGAAAGGGAGGGGTTAGAGGAAGAACCGTGAAAGATTAATAAAAGTGCCTTCTCTTTGAAAATACATTTCAGCGATGCTGTCTTTCTTGAATACACCTCATGAGTACACCCTTCTGTATTCTTGCCTTCTGTCTGCTGCCACCCCCCCCCCCGAACAGTGCAGGGATGTTCTTCAGTGTCAAAGGAATGCTCACACTCTCCTGAGGGCAGGCAGCATACAAACATCCCCCTTTTCTAGAAGAGCCCTTGGCTTCTGAGCTAGCTCACGGGTGAGATGCCCCCATTGGGCACCAGCACCTTCCACCTGAGAACGAGATCACAGGATGACGCAGAGGCAGACACGCGGCTCATCCACAGCCATGTTGTGCTGGCGAGAACTGTGCCGCCATTTCCTTGAGTTCAGCTCCTGAGCAGCCGTGCCAGTTAAAGGAGAGGCTTCATCTAGTCTGGTCGTTCTCATTTTCCAGATGAGGTCCCTGAGACCCAGAGACAGGAGAGATCTTGTCCAACATCACACAGCAAGCCAGGGTTGGAGCAGGCCCCCAGATCAGATCTGATTCCAGGGTCACACAGCTAGTAAGTGTCAAGTGTCTGAGGCTGAATTTGAACTCGGTCCTCCTGACTCCAGGGCTGGTGCTCTATCCAGGGTGCCACCTAGCTGCCCCTCAGATCTGATCTTTATGCTTCCCCCAGGCTTGGACTCTGTTCCCCAAGGTTCTCAGTGGCTCTCTCAGTCATGACATTGCTCTGCCAAACTTCAATTCTGAAAGGCCCTGGTGAAATGTTTGGACATGGCGCTTTTACCTTGGCAGTGACCCGTTGTAGTCAGATGTTTGCCACTGGCTTCAGGGCTAATCCTGCTGCCTGTTGGGCGTTCATTTCCTGCTTCCTTGTGGGTACTCGTTTCTTCTGCCTCCTCCCTGCCCAAAACAGGTTTGACCTGATAGCAACATCTGAGCAAACCCTGAGATCTGGAAACCTTGGGGCCACCACCTGTCTCTGCCTCCGAATCCATGGGATGTGGGGCCGGGCTGGGTGTTGGGCTTTGCAGCACTGCTCCGTCCTCCACATACGTCAAGTGTCACCTGTTCCTGGGTCAGTTGGGCCCTGTGGAAGAGCGGAGGGAGCAGCAGACAAGATTGGGGCACTCACTGTGTCACCTGGCTGAGTCATCGATCTCTGAGCCTCATTTTCCTCACTTGCACTACCGGCCTCCCCAGGCTGCTAGGAGATGGCGTGAGACAGGCAGCAGCAGCATGCTGAGGAAAGTCCTGGGTTCTAAGTCAGAGCCCTTATGGATCCCGATTCTGCCCTCGCTCTTATCTGTCACCAGGCAGGTCATTTAACTACCTGTAAAATGGGGTAAACCATATGATCTCCAAGGTCCCTTCCAGCCCCTCAACCATGACCATTGTATGTGTGGGTGTCCTATGAAGACTTGTCCTAACTTACAGCAAGACTTAAAAATCCACTTTGGATGGAAAATGTCCCAGAGAAGCCCCTTTGGGTGTCAGGCTTGATGAGGGTACAGCCCCTCTAGAGGCCCCAGGCAGGTGGGTCTTAGGTTCCACTTGCCTTGTGAGTACCAGGCCGAATCCAACCCTCCCTTGGCCGCACCTGACTGCTACAGCCCACGGTGCTGCCTGCCCTGAGCTGAACCTGGACAAAGGCCTGGAGCAGACCACTTGGTTCTAAGGCTTCGTCCCATTCCTTGTTCCATGTGCCTGAGAACAAGGGCTGAGCTTTATACATCTCCCCAGTCAGGACCTGCCCACAGCTGAGCACGGTGGGCATTCGGCATCGGTGAGAGTGGTGTGGCCACATTGCTCCTGGGCAGGAGAGGCAGCCTCAGCACCTGTTAGCACTGTGGGTGGGGAACTTGCAGTGAAGAAAGGATGCCCTCCCATCTTCTCATCCAGCATCTGCTAAAGGCTGCCTCCAGCACCACATCGTGGTGGTGTGGAAGTGGACCGTGCTTCTCTGGCAGAGCCAAGCCCCAGATTGTGGGGAACCGCCTGCTGGAAGCCCAGTGCTGAGGAGGCCATGAGAAAAGTCGGGGGGGGGGAAGAATGTGGCCGGAATTTCCCAGGTAAGAGCCACTTAGCAAGTCACAGGTGCAGTGTGCATCCCTAACGGGTCTGCAGTGCTCACACCAGAGGCTCACAGTGGCCTCTGAGTGAAGTCATGGATATGAGGCAAGTGTTTGTTACCATTCTTGTCCCAGCACCCACAGGAGCCAGGAGCTGCCTCCAGGCCTCCACTGGGACCAGCTTGCTACTCCCCATCAGACTCCTACTCAGGTCACCTACAGGAAGCCTTCCCTCATTGCTCCAGGCAGTCGAGGGCCTCTGGGTTTGTGAAAGTCCACAGCATGTCATCACAAACAGTTCAGTATTTCTCTTATCCTAGATTAGTGGGGTTCTATTTTTTTGGAGAAGTCATCTCTGAGCCCCTCAAGGTGACAATTACAGATTTGCTGAACTAGAGAAGGGAGCTTTAGTCAAGCTGTTGGTGGGAACACCATATAGCCTCTTTGCCAGTCATTGTTGGTGGATTGAGGCTTGCAGGGGTGGAATGTATTTTCTCTATACTCGGGCCCTCTGAAAACTGGGGGGCAGGGAGATGCCCAGAAACTGGTCTCCAACTCACCATCCAGCCTAGAGCCCCAGTGGGGAAAAAGGAGTACATGGGATTGTAGACCTTGAGTTGTGAGGGGCTTCTAGTGCAGCCCCCCTCAAGGTTACATAGGTCGTATCAGAGCTGGGATCTGGAAGTGTCCCCTTTGGAAAGTGAGATCAGAGTTCTTGCTGGCCCAGCTGGGCCTTACCACAAGAAAAGGGCAAAGGAGATCTTTGGTCCACCTTCATCACTTTATAGGCAAGGTTGAGGGGAAGCTAGGTGGCTCAGTGGATAGAGCACCAGCCCTGGAGTCACGAGGACTGAGTTCAAATTCGGCCTCAGATACTTGAAACTTACTAGCTGTGTGACCTTGGGCAAGTCACTTAACCCCATTGCCTGCCAAAGAAAAAAAAAAAGAAAAAACCCAAACTTTATAGGCAAGGTCCCTGAAGTTTGGAGACAGGAGGGCCAATCACCGTCTCACAGAAAGTCACCCCTGGAGGTGGCATAAAGCCGGATGCGACTCCCAGCAGAGTTCTCACTATACCATCTTCCCAGCCTGTCTCAGAGGGCAGTCAGCCCTCAGTCCACCCTCCCGACCTTGGCCTTAGCTAGTCCTATCTTGGAGAGTTGGGGCAGGAGCTCAGCTGCTACCACAAACACTGCTGGTGGATGCCTGGAGGACCCCAACTCAAGGTGTTCTCCCCATGGGGGCGGGAGGCTTAGGTGATGTGTAGATGTTTGGGTTCTAGTCCCACTCTGCAATACTGTGATGCGAAGGAACCCTGGTGGAACGTGGCATGGAAAGTAGGCCACTCCATTCTCAGGGTACTGCCCGGCATTCCCATCGCCATCTTGCTTTGAAACCCATCCAACTCCAAATTTCAGAGCAACTGGGTTTCCTGTGGCCCTTCCACTTCCAAAAGAAGGCAAGGAGGGGAACAAGATGGTCTAGGCCTGTGAGTGAGAGGGACCTAAGCAGTCATTTAGTTCAGGGAGAAACCACTTACTTATGGCCACCCAGGACAAAGCTAGGATTTGAACATGGTTTCTCAACTCCAAATGCTTGCTTTCCATTACAACGTGACACCTAGCCCCTACTCCCGAGGGACTCTGCTTTGGGAAGAACTGGGGCTGAAGACAGGCTACGAATGCCTCCCACCCCCTGCACCACAACACCTCCAAAGTTGGAGTCCACTGGGCAAGGACACTGACGACTGTCTGAAGCCCCTCCCTGGCCCGCTCAGGTTCAGCAATCTGTCCCTCCCTTCCTGTTCAGACACACCCTCCTTCGGCCAGCCGTGGAGTTCGACCTTTCTGCACGTGGGGGTTCTCTCCCCCTAGCAAGGTAAGAGGTGGGGGAAGAGGGGCTGTTGAGCTCAGTATAGTGAAATGCACCCCTCAGGCCGGCTGTTTACTACTACGTGAGGCGGGCAATTCCCTCTCCCACTCGGTGAAACGATGGCTTAGATGAGGCGATTACCAGCCTTCTCTAAACACCTGATCCTCTCGAGGAGGAAGCAGCTTCCTTGGTCAGTGGCCTTTTGAAGGAGGGGCTGAAAGCGGCAACTTGAGGTGGGGGCAGGGCTAGAGAAGAGACGAGTTTGGGCTGAACATACTGGGGAAACGAAGACGCCCCCCCCCCACCTCCTCCCCACAGAAATGAGGCAGGATCCCCTTCGGAGTTTTGGCAAACATCCTCAGCTTGGGATGGGAGAGGATGGGCCCGGTGGGGTCCTCAGGTGACCTGCAAATTCACATCCCATCCCACCCCAGGGGATGCTCCTAAGAAACTCTCTGTGCCTGGGGCAGCCAGCGAGTTTGGCTGGGCTCCCCAGCCAAGCTCTTCTGGTCACGATGAGGTCCCTGCTCTCTGCCTCCATGGACTGAGGACCTGGCCCCTCTGGGGGAAGAGGGTAGACAACTCTTTTTTACCATGGGTAGCCCTAGGCACCGATTCCAAGAAGACTGAAAAAGGTGGTCTGCCTGCCCCCCCCCCCCAAGCCTCAGGCACTCGGAGAAGGGATTTCTAAGAAGGCCAAGGTAAGACGGTAGCTTCTCTTGGGACCCAAGCCTCTTGACCACAGAAGCAGCCAATGGCCAAGGGGACTGAGGGGTTTTCTCCTTGTGCCACAGGCTAGGCATGGCAAGTCCTCAGACCCCAGCAGCAGCAGCTCCAGCGATTCTGACACAGATGGGAAGGTTAGGCACTAGCCCCCTCTCCTGGTGACTATCAGGTTACCTAAAGATACCCAGAGATCCCCAGGAACCCAACAGCTGAGTGTAAAGAAGGGGCTGGGGCTGGGAGGGAGGGCGCCCGGGAAGAGATGGACTTGTATTGCCCAACATGCCCTGACCTTCTCAGACTGGCCTTGGGGCCCCAGGGGGAGAGGGGGTAGGGGACCAGCAGCTTGACTCAGCTGGCCTGGCCAGGGAGGGTCAAGCACCCAGAACTACTTCCCACAGAGGTTTCATTGTTTTTCCCCACATACTATTATCCAGCCTCCAGGGCCTGGCCAGGGCCCCCAGAAGGAGCAAAAACTGAAGAAGGTGAAGAAGACCAAGGAAAAAGGGAAGAAGGGGGAGAAGGGATCGGCCCCCTGAAGGCAGCCTGGGTCTGCATTAAACAGGCCTTGGAGATGAAGCCTGGGCCCTGGCCAGCCCCTGCTGACCGCTCCTACCCAGCCAATAAAGGGCAGGCACCACTCAGCAGCACCCCGAAGGGGTTTATTTCTCCCTGTAACAGACACTATGGGCGGCAGCCCCAGCTTGGAGCATGCTGTGCAGTTAGAGATCTCTAAGCACCTTAGAGGATGGGAATTGGGGGAGGAGGAGGAGGAGATGGGGAGGGGGATGGGCTCTTTCCTAGGGCGGGGTTTGGGACTGGGCTCAAGCATAACAGCAAGGAGGAGATGAATCTGTGGAGAAGGCGGGCAGGTTCCAGTCAAAGGGCCAGGGACTTCTTGAGGAGAGGGGTAGTGGGCCCGGCAGCTCGCTCCAGAGTGATGGACCCCTGACCCCAGTGGGGCTCCACTTCGCTTCTCGCATTCCCAGGGGTCAGCGGCCTGGTCCTCTGGGTCTGAGCAACCTCCTGGGCCCTCACCTGACCAGGTGAAAGGTGAGCCAGTACATGAAGAGGGGTTGAACAGCCGCGATGGCCATGGTCAGGTACATGCGCAGCTGGTTCCGCGCCCCGCGGACCAGGACGCCTTCAGCTGCCACCTCGGAGAGGATTTTCAGTCGAAGGGTCCGGATCTGGGGAGCAGGGGAGTGAGGGAGAGGAGGGGGCTGGAGCCCATGCGCCGCTCTGGGCTCCCGAGGGGGACGATACTCTTGGGGACCCATCTAACAAGGCCACTCTGGCGCCAAGCCTGAGGGGGAGCGATGCCTGGGCTGGGTTCTGGTGCCAGCTGTGCCCCCCTCCTCCCCCCGGGATACCCCAAACCATGCTCACCATGAAGACGAAGATGGCCACACAACACCAGCCAAGCACCAGGTAGTAACCAGTCCTCCCGAAGAGCAGGCCAGTCACAACCCCACCAATCATCCTGGGGGCAGAGCCAGGCCAGAAGCTCAGAGCAGGCCGGCACCTGGCCCCGTTACAACCAGACTTAGGCCACCGGGAGGCCTCGGGGGTGACTTCAGATGCCCAATCCGCACTGCCTCACTCACCCTACATACTTGTACCCCGAGAAGGCCAGCAGGTCGATGGTGGTGAGGTCGGTGTTGACAGTGACCAGGTAGAGGCTCAGCAGGATGGCCAGCACCTCCACTGTGAGCCAGGCCAGGGCTGAGCTAGCCTGCAGACCCAGGAGGTCTGGGGAGAACCTGAGGGGAGGCCTGGCTGAGGGCCTGAGCCTGGGGGGCTCGCTCTCCAAAGCCCTGCCCACGCCCGCCTCTCCCACCCCAGCTCCAGCATCCTCTCACCTGTCCTGCGTCCCCAGTGCTAGGCCAGCCACCAGGATGTATGTGATGAAAGCCATAGCTGCAAATGAGTCAAGGGGAGACATGGGGAGAGCTTGGAAATCCTGCCGGGGGACCCAACACGGAGCTGGGATCCCCCCTGCCAGGGGGCAAGGGAAAGAAGCTGGGCCTTGGCTGCGAGGAGCAGCTGCAGGTTATGGGGGGGACTGCTGGGAGGTACCTGGAATGTAGAGATCTGGGGCGTTGATGTCGAACCTCGGGGCCACCGGCACATCCTGCTGGTACTGTACCTCCCAATCCTGCAGACACCACAGAGCCTAAGGCGAGGCCGGGGCCGGCCCCACGGCTGCCGACCGCCCTAAGCCCAGGCTGGGAACCCTTAGCTTGAAGGTGGGTGTTAGGGGTACCCCTTACAGCTGCTCTCACCTGGTGCAGATAGGGAAACACCAAGAGCCCCAGTTTCTTCCCCACATACACGGTGTCCACAGCAAAGTAATACTTGAGCTTGGTGACAGGAATGAAGCGGTCAATCTGAGGAGGCAGGACAGGCCCAATGCAGCAGGATGGCAGCCCCCCACCCCATCCCCCTATCCCCACCCCGCTTCCGCCCTGAAGCTCCGTCCACTCACATTCCTGTCCACCAGCTCCTTGCCATGGGCGGCCAGGCTGCTCCCATAGGCTACCGCCATGTTGGACACGGGGTCAGCGAGGAAGGCTGGCTGTGACGGGGAGGCATAGCCCAGGCCCCCGGGGGGCCTGTGACCCGGATAGCTCCCCGGCCCATGAGCTGAGCTAGTGTCATGGAAGAGCTGGTGGGGGTCAGCCAAGCTGGGCTCAGCCACGGGCACCCTCCTCTTCATGGCTGCCAAAGGGAAGTCACAGAGTCACAGATTTAGTGTGGAAGGGCACCTTACAGATAAGGAAACTGAGACCATCGAGTGCCCAGCTCATGGCTATAGAGCTACCAGGCCTGGAACTGACTCCAAAGCCAACACTCTCCCCATGCAACCAGGTGGGAGGTCCGCTGAGAAGAGGTCCATGAATCCAGAGTCGAGAAGATCCCAACACCTCGGGGCTGTGTGTCCCTGGACACATCACTTTACCTCTACTTGCCTCAGTACCCACCTGGGAGGTTACTGTGGGGATCACAAGAGAATGATCTGGGAGTCACTGGGAGTGCTTAGCCCAGTCCCTGGCACACAGTGAAGGTTGGCTGCTGCTATTACAATTACTACTATCAAGTGAGGTTATACTGGCAAACCTCAGCACACAGCAAGCGCTACATAAATGCTAGCAGCGCCCCGCTCCCATTTCCCACCCCACCCCCAGAGCCAACTATAATCTCCCTGCAGGGGGGGCTCTCGCCTACTGGTGGGGAAACTGAGGCCAGGACCCAGAAGCCGGCCAAACGCTCCGAGGATCGAGCGCCAGAAGGGCTGGGCCCATTGCCCGGGCGGACAAACCGCGGCCGCGGGGGAGGGGAGCTTCCCAGAGCCTCCCCAGCGCGGGTTCTCCCCCTGCCTCAGTTTCTCTCTCTGAAGCGCCCAAGGCGGGCAACGGAGGCCCAACGCGGGGGGAGGGGGAGTTCTAGGTGTCCCGTTCTAGGCGCCCGCGCTTCCGAGCCCCGCCCCCGCGCCCACCCGACCCCAACGGCCGCCGCCGCCTCCCCTGGCCCGGCCCGCGGTCCCCTCCTCCCGGCCCGGCCCGACCCGGCCCGGCTGGCCACGTACGCCACTTACGGTGCCGGGCGCTCCCCGCCGCCGCGCCGCCGCCGGGCCCCGGCTGCATCCCGGACCAGGAGAACCGACCTGGCCTCGATGGACGCCAAAAAGGACCGCGCGGCCCCCGTACCGCGCCCGTCCGCGGCGTCGCGGGCCAATGAGAGGCCGCAGCCCCGGGCCGGCCCGCCCCTCTGGCGGGCAGTGGCCAATAGAAGGCCCGAGCCTCTTCCAGGGCCCTCCCCCTCCCGCCGAGACCCGGGGCGGGCGGGGGGGGACGTGGCTCCGAGCGGGCGGAGGAAGGACCAGATAAAAGCAGCGGAGGAGGAGAAGGAGGCATCTGCGGCAGGTGAGGAGCATTCTGGGCGAAGCTGGGCGCGGGGCACGATGGGAGTTGTAGTTTTGCTGTGGCTCTCCACTGTTCTCATTCATTCATTCATTCCACAAAGCAGGCGGGAGGCAAAGTAACCGGAGGGAGACAGCTGGTGTAGGAAAGAGTAGCGTTTAAGGCGAGTTTCTGACCCAGCCAGGCTGTGTGACCCTAGACAAGGCATTTAACATCTCAAGGCCTCTGGCGACTGGGAATTGCAGAAGAAAACCCATGCATTGGCAGAAAGCAAGTCCTGCCTGGGAATGCCATTAAAAAAGGCAGCACTCAGAGAAATTTGGAAGATGCCATATGCTAGGTGCTGGGGAAATAAGAACAAATTAATAATGATAATAAAGCGATATAAAATAAATAATAAAACAAATACCCAAAATGAAGTGGAAATAATAAAAACTAATAATGCTAGCTAGCATTTTTATAACATTTTAAGGTTTGTAAAGAATTTTACATAGGTTAATTGATTTGATCAACTCTTCCTGACTCCAGGCTTGGCGTTCTATCCACTTTACTACCTAGCTACATTTATTAAATGTTTCTTTACCCATTGAACACCCACAATTAGGGAGTGTGATGTGACTAATAGAGATAGCAAAGCCAGTGGAGAAACTATGGCCAGACAGGTAGGAAGAGAGTCATGTAATTACAGATGAGAAACTTATCTAGGAGAGAATAATCAATAGTCTAAAATGCAGCAGATCAGTTGAAAAGGACTGAGGCAAGCCTCTCAGATCTACAAATTACTGATATTTGGAGAGAAAAGTTTCAGATGAGTGATGAGGTCAGAAACCAGAAAGCCACATTGCAAAAGACTGAAGAAGCATCAGGGTGGAGTCAGTGAGCACGGAGACTTTTTAAAGGAATTTGGCTGAGAGAGGAGAGACCTCCAATAATAAGGGGAAGGAAGGGTCTAGGGAAGGTGTTTTTTGTTTGTGTTTTAGGGTTAGGGAGTCTTGGACAGGGTGGAGGCAGGAGGGAAGGAATCTGTGGCTAGGGAGGAGTTGAAAGTTAGAGAGGAGGTGGGGATAATTGAGGATGCAATTTCCTGGAGAAGACTGGAAGGGATGGGATCTTGCCAAGAAGAAGGGCTGCCTCTTCATCAGAAACTGGGGAAGAGAAGAAGAAAGTTGTGCCAAGGAATCTTGAGATGGAAGAAGGTGCTCCATTCAACTGGCCTCATTTTTTCAGTAAAACTTCATCTAAATTCGAGGGATGAGGGAGCTCCTGGAGGCTGGAGGAGAGAAGAGAAGGCTTAGGAAGACTTCTGTGGGAAGTGAGATAGGGAATTAATTAGGGAGGAATAATAGAATTCCCTTGTTGCCATGAATTCAGGGAGACCAATTAGAAGTCAGGAATTCAGGTGAGAGGCAATGAGGACCTTAATTAGAGTGGTGTCTATGTGAATCAAGAGGAGACAGATGGGATAAATGTTGTGGAGATGGAATGAACAGGTCACTAACCTGATATGTGGGGTGAAGAGGAATGAACAGCAGAGGGTGACTCTAATGTTGTAAACCTGCATAATCGCCAGAAGGAAGGTGTCAAGATACAGACGTCAAGAAGGGAGGAGGAAGAAAATTTACATGGTTGGTCAATGTAGGACTGTTGCTCAGGAGAGAAATGGGAGCTGGGTATGTAATGAGGGGGTCATCTTTGAAGACATGATGATTTAATCCACTGAAGTTGATGAGATCAGAGAGAGGAGAGAAGAAAATCTATGCAGGAGTCCTAGGGTCACATGAACTAACGTACTTGGGCAGGGATGTGGACAAAGAGCCTTCCTAGGGGAAGGAGCCTTCCTAGAAGAAGGGGAAGGTTGGAGGAGAGGACAATGTCACAAAAACACTGGGAGGAGAGAGCCTCTGGGAGGAAAGGGTGGTTGACAATGCTAAAAGCTGCATAGAGGTTCATGGAGAATAGGACTGAGAAAAGGCCATTGGATTTTTTTTGGGGGGGGTAATTGGGGTTAAGTGACTTGCCCAGGGTCATATAGCTAGTAAGTGTGTCTAAGGCCAGATTTATACTCAGATCCTCCCGACTCCAGGGCCACTAGCTGCCCCTAGACCATTAGATTTAGCAATTAAAAGATCATTGCTAATCTTGTAGAGAGCAGTTTCAGCCCAATGGTGGCGTCTCAGGAGGAAAGGGCAAGTGAAACCATGCCCAAACATCATTCTACTGGGAATGGACTGAAATGCTTCTCTTTACTTCCTCCTTCCAGTAAAAACTTTTGCAGTCCCTGCACATTACCTGTGCTTCCCTGGTGACTCTACCTGGTGACTCTACCTAGATGGTACAGTGGATAGAACACCTGGGCCTGGAGTCAGAGAGGTGTGAGTTCAAATCTGGTCTCAAACACTTACTAGCTGTGTGACCCTGGGCAAGTCACTTACTCCCTATTTGCCTTATGTCCTCTATTGTAAAACCGGGGCACACTGGAGAAGAAATGGCAAACCAGTCCAGTATCTTTGCCAAGAAAACTCCATGAACAAAGACTCACAAAGAGTCAGACATGACTGAACAATACCAATCCTGGTGAATCTACATGGGTATATTATAAACCTATGTAGGTAAGCATGTCACAGTCATAGGTAATTCTCCTACCTCACAGTACCATACACAAGCAGGTACTTCACTGTACTAGCTCCATTAGGGTTCACACTCAGGTCTCATGCAGTACATGAAACAGAATCACCTGTCAGGGTTACATGTAGTAACCAGATACACAGATCATGTGCAGAAACATGATACATGGGTAACACCTGCTTGACAATGTACTCCCCTACACTGTTACTGGAAGAATCCTCTGAGGGGCAGGGGGACTCATGTAAATGGAGTCGCCTAAAGTCACTCGTTGCATCAGGTCATTTCATAACAAAGAGAAGAGGCAGGTGTTTGGTGGTGGTGGTGGTGGTGGTGGTGTTTTGGGAGGGGGAGCATTATAGACATGCCAGAGAGAGATAGGATGGATGGAGAGTTTGCATTGGGTTTGTGGGGGAACAGGTAGCAGGCCCAGGCCTCTTGGGAAGAAGACAGTGCTTGACCAAATGACACCTGGTCACCACCTTGCTGATAATCCTGCCCCCCGGTCTCACCCAGTGATGTACCTGGAAGGAAATACTGTCCCGTTAGAGGCAGCCACCTGCTGTGGGGTGAGATAGTTCTGATTCTGCTTTGTGACTTGGATGGGGGGAGAGTGGGGGAAGGAAGGGGAATGATGCTAGATAGACCTCTCCAAATGGCCTCTAAATGCAGAGACACACAGAGAGAGACAGAGATGGAGAGAGAGAGACAGGAGAGAGACAGAGAGAGAGAGAGTTGAGAAGACAGATCTTGGAGTAGCAGCTACACCCCCCACCCCACCCCCGGGCAGTTAAGAATTCAGGTCCTTGAGCAGTGTGTTCAACTCCGTGGGAGTTTTAATCCTGTATCTTTACTATCTGTTCCCTTCAGTGAATGGCTTCTCATCTATACTGTGATGGTGTGGTCCTCTGGAGTCACCTGCAGTTGGGGAGAATCCAGAAACTCTAGGGGAATAGGGGCGTGAGCAGTCGCCTTGATAAGTTATGAATTGTTGTTAGGGATGTTCATCTTTTCCTTCCTAGAAAGGACCAGAAAGACAGACCCTGAGCTTTCTGAAGCATGAAAAGGGGGCTGGGGGCTGGGGAAGGGAGTCTCAGAGAGGAGGTACTTGGGGGTCAGGGAGAGGGTCCACAAGGTGGGATTGGAGCTGAGTCTCAAAGGAAGCTGAGGAAGGCAGGAGTCAGGGGCAAGGAAGGAAAGAGTTCCAGGTATGGGGGGACAGCCAGTGCAAACACATAGGTGTCCCATGTGAGGAACGGCTAGCTGGGGCAGAGTGCCTGGAGGAGAAGAAGGTAGAGGAAGACTGGACAAAGGAGGAGGGGGCTGAGTTATGAAGGGCCACATGTAAGTGCCAAACAGAGAACGTTGTAGTCAAACCTAAAAGTAATAGGGAGAGTCATTTAACCCTTTTTCAAGGTCTTTAATTGGGTCAGAAAAAAAAAGTAATAGCGAGACACAGCAATTCATTGAGGAAGGAGGGGTGAGTGGATGACGTGGTTGGGACGAGGCTTCAGTAAGATCACTTCCTGTTCAACACAGAACATCTGGATTGTGCTTAAGTACAAAGTGCACGTCACTGCATTTGTAGGCACCTTGAGAATCCTAAGTTAACTTGTTCACTAGCCCAATGGTCCTTGCATGGCTGCTGTGAGTTGCTGACCCCTGAGTCCCCTGGTCTCTTCAGATCCACAGGGCTGTCTAGAGTCTTACTTCTGAGCTTGGCCTTGGCCTAGATAAGTCCTCAGCCTGAGCAAGCCTAGGGGTTTGTGGTCTCAAATTCTGAGCTAGGGGATGACCCAGCTTGGCTACCAACACCTTATGGTTACCCGGGGATGCTTGGGGAGGAGTATTGGGTAGGAGAACGATGATCTATAGGTTCAGTCATTCCTGCCCCCCTCCCCAATCTGGATAGACATCCCTCTTGGCCATTAATCAATCAATTGGGAAACATTTATTAAGCACCTACTATGTACCAGGCAACTTTGCTAAGTGCTGGCCATATGACTTTATGTCTATATGGAACTCTGTGGGATTAACGAGTGGCTCTCCAGAACTTCAGAGCGCTACCCTACTGGCACCTTAAGGTTGTTTTCTTTTGTGGGGGTACCAAATGCACTTACTCTAGAAGACTTTCAAACCCTTGTGGAAAGTAGGACATAACTTAGGAGGAGTCTTTTATGGGGCTTGTACATTTTCTAGGGGTGTGGTGTGTAAAAATAAAGCCTGTCCTATACACAGTAAACTTGCTTCTTGATAACTTGAGTGTTTGCATGAGAGCTGGGGATACTATTACCTCTAGAAGATACCAGGCAAGAGCTATTCAGGGATTTCCAAGCCCAGACCCTGGGTGGGATCCTAATAAACCAAAGAGGTAAGTGGTTCGGGGC